ATTACAGAGGCAAAACTAAATCAAAGGCTGAATAGAAGAGAAGAGTGAGAGTAAAAAACAAAGGCAAAGTAAAGTGCTGAATGACTAGTAATACAACTAGGTGGACAGCAGTATACAGCATACAGACAAAAAAGGCTCAACTACTGGACAGTTTGAAACCAGTCATCCTTTAAAGGAGAAAGAACCATGAGGCGAGTGAATTACTCTCATCCTCATAATTCAAGGCGACTTTGAAATTGTCATCCCCCCCCCCCCTCCCTCCCCTCTTCCAGCGCTGACTGGAGGTTTGTATGGGGGGAGGGCACAAATGGCTCTACCTCTAGATAGATAGTCATGAAGACACTGAGGGTCATACCATAGCTGCAGCAGAGGAGACAGGCAGGAGGGAGAACAGCGACAACTGGCTGGCATGCAGGTTCGGGTGAGATAAATATTAGAGCTACAGCTAACTATTTTCATAAATCAAATAGGTAGCCGATTATTAAATTTGATCTGATAAAATAAAAAAAATAATCCCCATTTTAAAATAAAATACGTGGTGATACCCAACATGTGTAGCGCAATGGTTGTTTTTCTATGTAGGTGCACCCGACTTGTGTTTCGATTAGTATACGTGAGTTTGCAGGGTTGGGGGACTCAATTTATGGGGAGAATTTTTTCATTTTATTTTTTTATTGTTTTTAACCTCATTGCTGTCACATGGGGGGTGCTCACAAACCCCTATGTGAGGGCACACTGGAGTTAATAGGTTCTCTTTAAGGTGACATTATTGGTCTTGTAGACACCTATTGTCACCTTTCCACTTCACTGGATTCAGCTGCTAATGCAGCTGAATGTCAACACAGCACACAGTGGCTTGGAGCAATAGCCAGCCTGTTACTGGTTATTTTAAATTGCAATAGCCAATAGCAGGCTGTTGCACCCGCCCACTGCCTGCTGTTAATCAGCAGAGGAGGGACCTGGGGGAGGAAGTTCTCCATCAGGTCCCTCCTCTGCTGATTGACTAACTGGGCAGGTGCCAACATTACAATTCACACTTCAGGAGAGGCAATATGGCAAATAGCTGCAGCAAATCAAATTATTATTTTAAAGAAAAATGTCTATTTGTGCCCCATAAATTTAAAGTGATAAAGCTTTTTAAAACGTCTGTTCTCCTTTAGAACTTTTCAGTTGCTCCCTGCATAGGTGCCTCCATCAGCTAACCGGCTGCTAATGGAGGCACCCATGCATGCGCATTTCCACAGTAGCTGCGTGCATCCATAGACACACACAACCCTGATGCAGGCCACACCCCTTTTCTCCACCGAACAGTTTGATGGCAGAAGGAGCCTATGGCTCCTCTGCCTTCAGTATCCTTCCCGTGCAACCAAGAAGTTCAGGGAACTGGCGATCGTTTCGGGACCAGTACTGGACAATGTTTACCCTAATGCACATAGGCAGAGCCTGCTGTCAATCAGCCAGATGGGTGGATCGACAGTATTGTCCGTTGTGGCTGCAGCGCTCTCAGTATACAGCGAGTTATATACTGAGCTTTGGGTCACGGGAGGAGCTTAGTATATGTCCTCCCGTGACCATTAAGAGAACTATGGGATAAAAAGGTTACCAATTGCAATGCAATAAAAGTTTCAGAAGGGTACAAGGAGGAAGCAGAGCCTGTATATGGATAAGAAAAACCCTAACTTCACTAAACACTGAAACAGGAATTGTAACACGGATAACTCACATTAAACACAACTTTTTTATGCAAAGTGACAACACCTACAAAAAATGAACATACCCGCCAGTTTTGTGGTCAATATTTCTTCATATTCTTCACGTACTTTATCTTCTCTTTCTTTAAGGAGACGTTCACATATCATTCCAACTTGTCTCAGAGTGAACAAAGGCTGTTCTTTACGCAGCTGTGATAATGATGTGGATGTGCCTACAAGACATTTTAATAATGATTAAGTTCGATTAACATTTCTGCTGAAACCAATACAGGCAAGTCACAACTGGCAACCAAGCCCATTGTGATCTTTGACTAGTTCTATAAACCAGTGTTTTTCAACCTTGTTTTTAGTCATGGCATCCTTCAAAAGTATGCAAATTCTCGAGGCACCCCAGTCTAAAAAAAAGTTATAGATTTTAAATGGAGACCCCATGCAGCAAAAAACCCCCACACACACTCCAAAGTGGGTTTCCCCCCTTCACATCAGGAGATCCCCTTCACATCAGTCTTCATTCCCCCATTCAGATTGCAGTCCCACTACCACAGCATTTTGGAGGCACCCCTGAGGAAGCCAGGAGGCACACCGAGAGAAAGTCTGCTTTAAAATGTTTAAAACTATGAGTCATGAGATACAATTGTCACATGACCTTTTTTAGTCAAAAATCACAAGAAAAAAGCCATTAGCACGAGAAAGCAAAAACTGCACAATTACATTCGAAGAAAGTGACATTAAAGTCACAAATCCCCCCCTCCCCCAATGCTGCTTTAAGTACTTACCATAAATGATGCCTCTTGATCCGATGATCGTCCTTCGACTTTAATTCAGCAATCCCTCCAGCGCTGGTGCCGGTCTCTGATCCAGCGCATACTCTTCATGTGCCACGGTGTCTGTCCGACGTGCACGCTCCCGGCTGCGTACATTTACCTCCACTGACACTCTCCTGTTCTCCCCGCCGAAGATATCTACTGCGCATGTGCCCCCACCTTTGTCCTCCTGCACGGCTGCTCGAGAAGCTTCAGATCTTCAGCCGGGAGCGAGTGGATGAGACAGAGGTAAGTAATTACCTTTTTGGTAACTTTCTTTTAAATGTATTTACATCTACCTACTGCTTGCTCTTAGGTAATTATGCCCAATATGTTGCACATATAAAAAATGCGACAAGTTGAAAATTACATTGGTGCTCATTAACCCCCGTGTTAAAATGTTGCAATTTTTCTGTGCAGCTAGTGTCCGCTGAGTGGCAGCTGTGAGTGGCAATGCCTTGCATTGCTACTTTTTTCTTAACTTGCAGTGGTGATATGCATAAAAATGCTAGAAAATGCAAAGTGAATGCAACCAAATATACATGGTCATTTAAAGGATTCAGTATACCGCGAGCTACAGCTCGCGGTATACTGAGCCTAGGGTGACGGGAGGACGCTAGTTTGTGTCCTCCTGTTACACTAAGGAGAACTATGGGGAAAAGTCTTAACCCCATAGTTCTCCTTTAAATCAAGTCCTCACTGAGACGTCTAGCTAGAAGCACTGTGGAACAATATATTCTCAACCCTCTCCTGACCTATTTTCCACCCCCCTCCCATTTATTGAAAATGAAGTAAAAAGGCTAAAAACACATCTGAATGCACAACATGTTACTGCTGCTTTATAACTAGGCCCTTACTCAAATTTCTAGAAAAAGCAAAAATACTAGACTGCATGTCCTCAGTGCAACTCAAAGTATGGTGGAGGCAAGCATTGCAGACTCAAATGAGATTACAGTGTAGTTGGCATTGCAAAAAACTACACAACGATACAAGCAGGGTTGGGATTCCTATTACCCGATGCCTGGGACATGTAGTTCCGGGCATCAGGCAGGTTTTCTTTTCCTACATTTAGCCTTGCTGTGGGCAAGCAGCATGGCTAATTTTAGAGCGGGAAAGCTGCTTTGTTCTTTGAGACACCCAGGACCACAGCAAGGTAGTTCAGGATGCAGAGCGGGGAACCAATCGGTTGTGTATAATTAGCGAGACCGGAGTATTGTATTAGCAGCGCCTCCCGTCTCAGCTGTCACAACCCAGGCTGTAGAGGAGATCGAGCACAGTCGGGTTAAAAAATAAAGTTATACAGGCAGTCCCCGACTTACGGACAACCCGTACTTACGAACCAAGGTCCCCCCCTCCCCGAAATTAGTGCCGCTCCCGAGTCCTGCTCCTTGCCTCTGCCACCCGCAGGTGCCGCAGTGTGGTGACAACTACATAGAGCTGTCACTCAGTGCCACAGACTTTACTGCGGTTCATTGTAAAAAAAAACTTTGTACAATGAACTGCATTAAAGTTGGTGACACCGAGTGACAGCTGTATGAACCGGCGCCTGTGCGGGGATCCGATGCACACCGGCGGCTATGCAACTCCCTGTCATTTAGGAGAACTGCTTAGCCTGGCGGAGCCGATACGAGACTCTGCAGGCACAGCCAGGCAGCCACATCCTGCTGTTTGGGTCACCCTTTCCTGTGATCCCTCCTCTGCACTGGCTGCCAAGGATACAGGAGAAGAGGTGCTGCAGCCTGCATGTGTTAGGTGAGGTTGGGGAGTGTATGGGTAATGGCTGGCTTGGGGGGAAAGGGGGACTGTAGCTGGGCTGGTGGTATTCAGCATTGTTGTATAATGATTATACAGCAATGCTGAATAATACCACCAGCGATACAGGACTACAAATCCCAGCAACATTATACAAAGCTGATGGTATTCTGCATTGTTGGGACAGAAAGTGAGGTAAAATCTTCTGAACAAGGGGAAGACAGCAAAACAAACATGACCCTTGCCTATGCTATCCAAAACTAAAAAATATATATGTTTTTTGGCTGGAGTTGCACTTAAAAAATGTACCTGTTTCGACTTGCATACAAATTCAACTTTAAGAACAAACTTAAAGTGCCTCTCTTGTATGTACCCCGCGGGGACTGCCTGTACTCACCTGAACCTCTGTCCAATACACTGTGTATAGGACGTGAAGGCACAGAGGGATCTAAAGAGCTTGCGCGCGAAGAGAGCGCATTTTTTAAAATTCAAAAATCCTCGGCTCAATCTTTATTGGAGGGCAAGCTCCATAAAAGAGAGACTGTCACATCGGGCCACATTCTTAGCATGGTTAAATACAAAGAATTGTTTTAATCAAAACTGTATGATAACAAGTAGACCGGGCCTCTGCTTTAGTCCTTGAACAAGTAGTTTGTTTTTTTATACCACTGTACAAAGCAGTTAAGCGTAATCCTCTGTGGGACCAAAGAAGAGGAAGTTCAGAGATTAGCTGCCTTGTATTCTGAGCATATAAAAGGGTCCCCAGACTCCATGCAATGAGTTTGCAGGATAGAAAACTGTTCCTTATTAAGCAGCATTACTGCATACAATTGTGTCGTCTTGTGGCAGATGTATTATACTGCTGAAGAATCATGGAATGTGGAAGAAGTATACATTAAAATGTTTCCTCTGCAGGGTGTTACTATACTAGACAGAGTACCGCCTTACCATGTACTCAAAACAACTGATCTAATACAACAGATTACACTACAGGAAGCAAAAGAAAAGCCCTGATCCAGATACACTTCAATTATCTACCGCTAGACACTTCATTCTACAGCTCTTTAAACAAGGAACTTTCTAGATTAGTGATGTCTTTTACAAATCGAGCGAGAAGTCTGGTAAATGACTTTCTAGAGCCCTCCACACTAAACACATTGCTTTTATCCCAATGTTACATGACCTGAAAAGGCACCGCAACCCACAGCCAGGATTAAAATCTCAACTTCTACTCTATGCAAAGTTTTACAATATTCAATGCCATTTTGAAGATAATGAAATGTATACAGAAGCTCACTCTACTATCCCATAACCAGACATTTAAGTCCTAGAGAAGCCATTTTCTGGAGGAGAAGACGAACGTACCACTGCAAATGCCCAAAAGCTGCTTTAAATCCATCCCTCACTAAAACCTCATCTCACCCACCTCTTTCCCACTCAAGCCTTTAGGCTGGGTTCACACCTAGGCGCATCGAATATGCGCGTTTGTTGCACGCTTCGTGATGCGCGTTTTTACCGCAATTCGCGGTAAAAAAACGTGCGACAAATGCGCGTTTCCGAGGGCTACTTGGCTGTATCCCAATGGAAGCGCGCGACAAAAACGCCCCAAAGAAGCTCCTGTACTTCTTTGGCCGTAGGACGTTTTGTAGCGCGTTCATGCGGCCTGTAATACGCCCAGGTGTGAACCATACCATATAGGAAATAATGGGATTTCGGTGTTCGAACGCGCTACAAAACGCCCAGGTGTGAACCGGGCCTTAAGAATCATCTCTATTCCAAAACCCTACAACGAGGAGTCATCAAGGAGCAGGTATGGGCCTATCACTTTCACCAACATGGACATGTGCATCTACTCCAAAGTTATAGACAACAGACTTAAACGGCTGATCCAAAACATTGTTTATCCAGATCAGGTGGGCAACATGCCTGGCCAATAACTGGATGATCAATTAATGGAACAATTTGAACCTGCCCAACTGAGCCACATACCCGTTTGTCTTAGATCAGTAGATGCAGAAAATGCATTTGATAAGATAAACTGGAAGTTCTTATATGAAATCCTATGCCAAATTGGCCAGGGCTCCAATCTTCTCCACAAAATGGCCCTCTACCAAAATTCTTTGGTCACAATTTGTGCCAATGGTCTTTTGTCAGAGCCCCTATGTGGTGGACAAATATAATGGAATTAAAAAGGAGCAAGCCTGTCCAGTCCAGAAGCCAAACCGGGATTTTTTTTTTTTTTGTAGGAGCCAGCTCCATTGACACCAGCTGGTGCATTGGCTGCCTGGCTCCTGGGATTTGTCCAGCCCTGCCCTATGGAATCACAATGGTAACCGGCAGGGTTGACCCTTATCCCCTCTGTTTTATATCCCCACAATAAGCTAACGCATCACATAATCCTAACATATTCAGGGCACAGCTCGCTGACTATATAAAAATATCTTTAGCAGTTTCATGGCCAACTACAACAAAACCAAAACTTTGAGCATACCCTTGTGTTCCTCTATTCCTGAGCCTTCTCCCTATTATAGGCAAATTTCTTCTTTTAAAGGCAAAAATTTGGGCACACGCTGTGTATTCCCTCCAAACTGCACATTGTGAGTTTTCCATACCAGAGCCCCTCAGGTGAGGTGTGACTAGGGCACATATGAAATAGTTTTGTTTGTGCCTTTGCTGTGACGTGCATTTATCCAGTGCAGAAAAATGCAGGTTACCACACAGCATAGGAACAAGCCCTTAATCTGCATCACCTTTATTATGGAAAGATATAAGCAGTGCATGAATAGATGCCTAGAAATGTCACTGTGATAGATAAGAACATGAAACAGCCTGTTACATTAGTCTTTCAGACAGGTGCTGCAACACAACAATCTCATCATTCATGTCTAGCCGTCACCGGGAACACAAATACAATAAGGCATATGACATCTTCACTCACCGGGTAAAGTAGGCCCAGAAGGCAGAAAAGTGTGTGGTTGGCCGTCACTGGAACAGCAGGGTTCTGTTTGCTGAAAGCTGCTTTCCAAATGTCTTCTCTTCTGCATGCGTTTATACTCTTGTTTGATGTTGTAAAGGATTTGTTCTGTAAACAGGATACAAAAGCTAATTAAACAACGAACCATCTCATGCCACCAAATCTGTCTGCAGCGTTAGTTTTATTTAGAGAATTTGGAAGATTTAAAACTACTTAGAAAGCTCTAAAACATATTGCTCCTAAGCCAGGAACCCAGGCAAAACCTTCCACTCTTCCTAAAATCTAGAAATTCTATGTGGCCACACAAGGTCCAGTCAATGACCTGTTAAGTAGGTGTATTATGTACATGTAAAAAAATAAAAATAAATTAGAATTACACTTCTCTTACCAACTCCTTCTGGAAAGATTCCTTGAGAATGCAGAGCTGGCACAATGTCACAAGAAGACACCAATCCATTGTAAGACTGTCTTCAGCTGCTCTGTATTACCCAGGATCTAGCCAGGAGATGCATTAAGTCATTCTTGCCTAGGCGCTGCAAGTTGTAGATGGGTGAGGTGAGTAATAACTTTATAAAAACTGTTTCTCTGCAGATATGTTATAAGCTAATAGGTAATTTGTGGAGTGAGCCCAGACAGGCAGTGGAAGCATTTTACTGCAAGGTCCGCTTTGAAATGTAAAACCCATAACAAAAATGTAATACACTGCAGCTCATGAGTCCCTAAGGGCCGGTTCACACCACAAACTCCCCCGTTGCAGTGGGTTCGGCCTCTGGAACGCAAGCCGGCCCCCTGCCTTCAGGGGCGTGGCACTGCAAGCACTATTGCAGATCACACTGGACCAGAAGGCAAGCACTAATGTGCCTGCGTTCTGGGCGATCGCACTGCGGGCATGGGACGCGGCTGCGGTGCCATAGACTTCAATGCACAGCCACTCCCCCTGCCGCCCCTGAACGCAGGGAGCCAGCCGGCTTGCGTTCCAGAGGCTGAACGCACGGGAACACGGAGGTTGTGTTGTGAACCGGTCCTCAATGTGGTGCCTGTATTCGTTTCTTTTTTAGTTTCTACATGAGATCTACCAACAAAAAAAAAACCTCCCTTGCTGTCTCCTGGCTGGCCTGTATTTTGCAAACAGTGTAGTGCAACAGGCTGTGTAGACTAATATTCTTTGATGTAATACATAGCACTTCAACCACCAGTATCCACCAGAAATGTGTCAGGGAGCTTGGCTCAGCAGACTCAGGCTAATAAGTAATCATGTGTGCACAGCTAAATAAATATACCAAAATGGAATAAAGGGGCCGCCATTCACACCCTTCATGATCTACCAGCATCAGCTTTGAGAGCTACTGCTAGATCACAATCTACCTAATGGGCACCCCTGCTCTATACTGAATGTTCCTGTCCATTCATAACTTGTGGAGATAGTATGTTTAACATATCCACAATCACGAATGATCAGGAAGTGATGTAAGTCACACCCATTCATTCATAATTGAGGACATAGTAAACATACTATGTCCTCAATTATTTACAAACACTCAGCAATCACTGAGTGTTTGTACCCGCTCTCCATCCTGACTCGTTGTCACAGGAGGCTGAGCGAGCAGGAGAGCTTGATCTCCTGTGACAGATGACTCCTCCCCCACACCATCGACCCGGCCTCCTGTGACAGCTGTCCCCACCCCCCACTCCTGATCCGTCACAGGGGGCTGAGCAGTGCAGGAGACACACCAGCCTCTCACATCGCTGTCCTCGCCCCCGCACCACTCTGCCTCCTGTGAGTTTCTCTCCTCCCCCCGGGTCACAGAGCAGTGCCCAGCAAGGAGGAGAGAATACACGGATGCATCGCTATTTTGGCTAAAAGTGCCATTTATAGCCGATACCTTTGGGCCGAAATTTCGGTGTATCCCTAGTTACAAGGAAAGATAAACAGCTGGCCGGCTCAGAGAATTGGGCGAGTATAATTTTATTTCAGCACCCACACAGAAACAAGCACTTAACCCTTGCAGTGCAGGGGTAGCCCCACTGCAAGTGTTAAGAAATTCCTGGGAGGAGTTCTTTAAACTTGGGGTTCCCTTCTATAGACCTGACTGACACAGGAAGAACTTCTCATCGGAGTTAGAAATGTACTGCTGCTACTCCCCTGAACAGGGCATCTGCAAAGTACACAAGACCTACAAGGCAGCTTCACCTTGTAGTTACTAGTGTGACATTATATACAGCAACTATTTACAAAGCTTTCAGCAAGTTCCAGTAAACCGTCTTGAAACCCTAAATCTCCCTTCAGCTCAGTCTTAATGGGTGTGCTAGCAGAGCAACTATCAGCAAATTTCAAGCAAAGATTGCTGAAAGCCTGTTGAAGCTTAATGTCAGTCTACACACTCAAAGTTTCCAGTTATGGAAAGAGAGAAGAGTTAGTACTATTATTTATATCAGTGGCCTTACTAGCTGTCTAGACCAGTGTCACCGAGACAGAAGCTAATGGGAAATTCAACATTTCAGAGGTGACAGAGGTTTGGGTGGAGTTCTGCACTCCCCCAATCCCCCCCCCCTATCTCCCCAACACACACACACTGAA